GCGCCATTCGTTGTGAAAGGTGCGGGCTGTTCACTGCCGTGCGTAATGACGCATGGTCAGTGTAAACAACGAAGGGTCTATCTCCTAAGAGATAGACTCTGAACTTCGCGAGTGCATACTTCATGGCAAGGAGTTCCTTGTCATGCACTGGATAGTTCTGCTCAGCTGGTTGCAGCTGACGCGACTGATAGCAGACGACGCGTTCAACGCCTTCAAGATCGTACTGCATTAATGCACAGCCGATTGCGAAATCGCTGGCATCACAGACCACATGAAATGACCTGTCCTAATCAGCTATTGCTAGGACTGGGATTTGTATCAAGCTCTGCTTGATACCATCAAAGGAGCGCTTACATTCAGCGTTCCATAACCACCTCTCGTTCTTTTTCAACAAACGAGAGAGGTGCACAGTCATCTCGGCGTAATTGCGTGAATACCTGTGCAAATACGCCGCTAGCCTAAGGAATTTTGAAGACTTTTGACATCAACCTGCACTGGCCAGTCGGTGATCGCCTTGATCTTTTCGGGATCAGGACGTACACCGTTCTTACCAACGATGCACCCAAGAAGTGGTATTTCGCTTGCTGCAAATATACACTTCTTGATATTTGCATACAATTGATGCTTTCACATGATTGTAAGAACCTGTCGGACGTGGTACCTGTGAACCTCAACGTCCGACTTTCCTCTCATATCTCGACTATGGATGAATACGTCATCGAAATAACTCGGCGCGAAGTCTCGTACTGGTCTCAACAGATGTGATACACATCTGTTGAACGTGGCAGGGGCATTACTGAGCCCTTGTGGCATTACTAGCCATTCCCAGAGCATGCCGCTAGGCGTGCTAACTGCGGTATAGGGTATATCCCGTTCTCGCATACGGATTTGATAGAAGCCATCCATCAAATCCATGGACGAAAAGATGGTACTCTTTGACATACCATCAATGATTACGTCCTTCCTCGGTATCGGCGTCTGAGCCGGTACCGTTGCAGCGTTCAATTTGTTAAACGCGTGCACTATCCGCCACCCTCCTGTTGCTTTTCGCACACAGAAGGTCGGAGAGCTATGTGGGGAAGTTGATTCCCTCACATGGCCCGCTGCTAAACGATCGGCAAAGAACTTGTCGATCGCTGTTACCTGTTCACGAGGCAGTGGCCACTGCTTCATGACACAGTACTTCTACCCTGGTTTAATCTCGACCTCGTGTCGAATACCTTTATCCTTCGGTAACTCGCACGGAACAGTTTCAGGGAATACATCCTTGAATTCAACCAAATCTTCATAAAGAGGATTTGTCTTGAGCGATTCCCACGATTGGGAGTCATATCGCTCAACTCGTGTCTTTTCATCGAGGACACTCTCGTCCATAGATGAACTACTGAGAACTCTCTCGTTCTTGGTAAACGCTGCTGCTGACCTTATGTCGGTTACATACTCGTCTTCAGCGACGAGTATGCAGATCTGCTTGACTTTGCCACTACGCAGATCACGCAAGAATCTTTTATGTTCGAGCGTTGGCAACTGAGTGATCTCCGAAGTTAACTTCGGAGGCGCAATCAGATCAAGTGTATAAGCGCCTACACATGATCCGTTATTGACTATGACATTCAATGTCTCTGTCATTTCCTGGGGACTTATTCCCTCAGGCTTCGAAGGACTTATTCCTTCGTCTTCCCGGGGACTTATTCCCGCGGGTTTCGGGGAACTTATTTCCGCCGTATTTGTAATCTTGGGACTTATTCCCTTTACTTCCTCTAGCTGGGGTTGCGCAACCACAGCGAGATCCTCTACGAAAGACTCTCCAGTCGATCTAGGATTATCGTTTCGCTTAACCTGAGCGATCGATTGTTTCTCTTCTAGATGTTCCCCGCTAGGGATACATCTTTGTCCCAGTCCACTCGACTTATTCGAGTGGTGGACCTTCGGCGCAGCCTGTGTTTCCTCACAGCCGCCGAAACTTTGCTCCGAAGTGTAACTGTTTGGTACACTAAGGTTTTGTGCAGTCGTACTAACGACCGTACCACAAGTGAGGCCATCGCACTCACTCGTAGTACATCCACACGCTTGTGGACGCTCCAAAACGTTCATCAGATGGCCATCTGATGAACAAGCGGCAGGCATCGTTACTGTTCGATGTTGCCAGTTTACCCGTGGTTCGTACCTTCTAAGCCACGGTATTCCAAGGATGACATCAAATTTGTCATCCAAATCCAATACGATAAAGTCATCGTCATATTGGGTATCTTCTAGCGTGTAGTGGATCTTCACTATACGCTTCATGACGGTTACGGATGCGCCTGTCGCAAGACGTACCGTCATCCTCGTAGGAGGTATGTCACATTCAATGAATTTAAAGTGACCATCTTCTAGCGATTGGCGTTGCACAATATAGTTGGACGCCCCACAATCGACTAGAGCTCGAAGGGACAACTTATTTGTCACTTCGAGTTTCAAGGTAATGAGTGAGATCTCATTACCTAGAGCAGCAACGCACAACGTTTGTGTGTTGGGAGCAACCTTCATCAAGAGGCCTACAAATTCTCTTGACGTTGCTGGACCAGTAGGGTGCTCCGCACCTACTGATCCTGTCCGCTTTTTGACGGTCCATCCCGTTGTTGCGTCTTTGCACCAACAGCGGACCCTCGTCCCTGCCCCTTTCTCATGGGTGGACGGTCATTACGCCCAGTGTTGCGAGACACTGGCGAGGGGCACTACACTCGTAAGCGTAGTGTCCTGTCTTTTGACACCATGTATCTCTGCAACTTCTTGTAGTCTGTGGAGCGAGCCTTCTCGCTCTCTACATAACAGAGTTCCATCGGCTTTGGACCTCCGTTGTCATATTGTAACGGTTGATGATACGAGGTCATGTAACGATTCACCCCGTTACAAGTCCATAGAACTAAAAGGCTGTCAACCATAAGCCGTTGGCTAGTTAAATAAGCCTTCCTCTGACTTAAAGAGCTATGAAGCTCCGCTACACTTGGTAGCACTTGTAGTCAATCCTACACCTGAGTCGTTTCGACTAATCCTCTGTGAGAGATGGAGGGTCTTGACTACATCTCTGAGGCTCAATGTATCGCGCTTGATAAGATTAGATCGTTAAAAGGGGTCAAAAAAGTCGACTACATTGTGGCATAAGGCCCAGAAGTGCTCAATGCACGTCTTGACGCATTTATGCAGGTTGAGGCTACCGTGATAGGGCTTGTCCACAACCATTTAGCCTCAGCCAGTCTACAAGGTACTTTCCTGTACCTGACAGTGAGTCAAAGAATCGTCCGCTCACTCTTAGCGTTAAGACTTTGGAGGGGAAAGAGGGATGCCGTAGAGATAGCGTTATATGCTGAGTCCAACTTTAAAGCCGCTCGATTTGGCACTCCTGAGCATGCCCAAAGATCATTTGACGAGGCTGAGCCCATGGACCTCGGACTTGCCGAAGAAGAAGATCGAGATCTTCTGGCTGTTGAACAGCAACGTAGCATCCGTAGATGTTACATGTGCGGTAGAATCAAGCACTTGCGCCCACAGTGCCCATTGCAGAAGCCGCGATAAAGTCGGTCGAGCCGCAATCCGCCTCCTATCCCGAAAGTGGGTACGGAGCGGGAAAACGGCAAGTCCCAGTTAGCGCGGGGCGCCCTGCTGGGGAGGAACTAGATTCTGCCGAATCTTTAGGTGGTAATGAAAGACAGGGCGTAGCCCCAGACGGTCTTGTGGAAGTTTTTATGAGACGTGAAAATTGAAGGCTTAGGCAGTTGAGCACTAGATTGTAAATTGCAAAGTGATTATATTTAGGTCCTTAGTTCACAAACTCTGTTGCTACTCTAAGCCTACATGATTCTTCGACTACGCGTTCCTCATCGCTATATCGCGCATTACTAATCGTCTAGTCGCGCATTAGTAATCGCCACATTGCGCATTACTAATCTTCGAGTCGCGTATTACTAATCGTCTAGTCGTACGTTTCTAATTCTGGTCGTGCGTTTATGAACACCCAAACGTACCAAAAATGGGGGACGTCACTGTCTGGCAGTACAGTGCTGGTGAACCCCAAACACCAGATCCCGAAGGCTTAACTTGTTGTTTGTACGCCCCCACCGGTATCGAACCAGTGACCTTTGGGATGGTACTGCCATACCAAACCAGCTGAGCTACAGAATACATTTCTGTGACATCATGCCGAGACGTCTTTCTTACAACACTCCCACTCGTCTCGGCAGATCGTGGCGCCTTGTTGCCCAACTTGGTCCGAAGTTTCTGGACATGTACGACAGTGATCGACTTGGTCATTATATCGGCCTTCATGTCCTTGGTTGGGCAGTATTCTAGCAATACTTGTCCTTCAGCAACCTTTTCACGAATAAATGGTAGCGAATGTTGATGTACTTGGTGCGTTTGTGAAATTCTGGTTTCTTGGTCAATGCGATCGATCCTTGGTTGTCCTCAAAGAGCTTGACAGCTTGATTACTTGTCATCTCACCAAGTTCTCACAGGAACACCCTCAACCTAACTGCTTCTTGTGTAGCGTCCGATAGCGCCATGTACTCTGCTTCCGTTGATGATAGTGCCACCGTTCGTTGCTTCTTGCTCCTCCAGCTGATGCAACTGTTGTTCATCACGAAGGCGTAGCCACTTGTTCTGCGCCTTGACTCTATGTCGCCGCCCCGTCTGCATCCTAGTAGCCTTGAAGGCTGTCGTCTTCACTTGCTTGAAACTCAATTCCGTGTGTCCTAATACCATTTACATACCGAAAAACCCTCTTGAGTGCTTGCCAGTGTGTTGGACATGGATCGGAGCAAATTGGTGAGCACTCCCACTGCAGCTGCAAGTTCGGGACGGGTGCCCACCATAAGGTACAAGAGACATCCTACGGCGTTCCGGTAGGAAAAATTTGCTATCGTTTCTTCATGCTTGCAACCTCCTTCGCACATAGCCTTGGTCAACTTCAGTCCTGGGTCTTGTGGCGACCTGACTGAAATGATGTCCAGCATGCCGAATCTCTATAAAATGTCTTTCGCGAACTTGCTCTGCCGCAATGACAGTGTCCCTCCTAATTCGTCCCGCTCAATCTCAATTCCAAGAAAGAACTTCAGCTTCCCCATGTCTGTCATCTCGAACCTCTCACTCAGTGCGCTTTTGGCTTCACGAAGGCTCTTGTTGCTGCCGCTGGCGATGATTAAATCATCGACGTAGAGTGCCACGAAGATCATGCGCTGCTCATCTCGCTTAACATAAATGCAGTGATCGGACTCGCATTTCTTCTATCCGATCTTGATCAGGAACTTGTCGATAGTCTTGTTCCACATCCGCGGTGATTGTTTAGTCCGTACAGTGACCGCTGCAGTTTGCAAACGAAATGCTCGTGATCTTCGTCGATGTAGCCGTCTGGTTGCGCTATGTAGATGTCTTCATCCAGCTTGCCGTTCAGAAACGCGGTCTTGACATCCATCTGGTGCACATCAAGGGGGTACTTGGCTGCCAGACTGAGGATGACTCTGATCGAAGTGAACTTGGAAACCGGGGCAAATGTTTCTCCGTAGTCGATGCCAAACTTCTGTGAGAACCCCTTCGCAACCAGGCGCGCTTTAAAACGCTCGATCCCACCATCTTGAGTCTCTTTGACTCGGAACACCCATCTGCATCCGATAGTTTTCCGACCCTTAGGTAATTGCACCAACTGCCATGTCTTGTTCTTGCGGAGGGAGTCGATTTCGGAGTCGTACGCTTCCTTCCACTTGACCGCGTTGTTGGATTCCATCGCAGACTTAAACGTTTTCAGCATATCTCCCACTGAATCCACAACGTAGGCTGTCTCAAAGTCTTCCTCGACTTGTGCCACTGCCGACATGTTTCTGAGCAAAATTCTTTGAATCTGCCGCTTAAAAACCGGAATCTTCACAGCTTGTTCCAACGAAGGGTTTCGCGTGTGGCGCTTTCTGCCGGGCTCCGTACCTTGGTCTTGCGCAGCGTCTTCTTCGTCAGGCTGATTTGGTACGGAAGAACATTCATGACCTGTACTCTCATCTTCTTGACTGTCAAAGACATCTTCTGCGTCTCTTTCAGTGCGTCTCCCACTGTCGAAGACGTCTTCCATAAATTTGCGTCGCTCCTCACTAGAACACGACGGCTCTTGATCTCATTAAAACGATACGCTTTCTCGTGTTCAGAGTATCCTATGAAGCGGCAATAGACTGACTGCGCATCAAAATTGATGCGCTTTTGTTTCGGGACCGTCACGTATGCGTGACAACCAAACACCGTCAGATTTGAAAACAGCGGTTTCTTGCCGGTACAGATATGATGTGGCAACTTGTCTTGACTTGTGGCACGTGTTGGACATCGATTTGGAAGAAATGTAGCGGTTACAACCGCTTCATCCCAAAATTCCATGGATAGTCCGGCATGCTTCAACATGCATCGAGCACATTCCACCAATGTCCTGTTCATCCGTTCTGCCACTCCGTTGAGTTGAGGTGTATAAGAAGGCGTAAACTTTTGTACAATGCCACGACTGCTGCACAGCTTGGTCATCTCGTGCGACTTGTACTCTCCGCCGTTGTCACAGCGAAGTAGCTTGACGCGGTTGCCTGTCTGAGTCTCTGCAAATGTGACGAATCTGGCGAACTTAGAAGCCACTTCAACTTTGTTTTTAAGCAAAAACACCACCCTAAGTGCGATTACTCGTCAATGAACGTGACAAAGTTTCTGCTTCCACCGAGCAAAGCTGTTTGCATAGGACCACATACATCGCTGTGGATGACTTCTAGCATTTTCTTTGCACTCTCTGGGGACTTTGGCATAAAGCTCACTCGAGTTTGTTTGCCAAGAGCACACCCTTGACACATCTCCCACTGTCGCACAGACGTGAGGTTGATGCCGATGCCGTAGCCCTTCTTGACTAGACCTTATGGCCAATATGGACGAGTCGAAGATGCCAGAGGTACGACCGGTTGGTCCCATTGATACCGGTTAAACTTGACGCATTTGCCTCATCTGGCATGAGCGGGGTCATGCATAACTTGAATAAGCCCTTTCCCTTGCGCATACCCAGCTGCCACTTCACAATCTTTGACTTAGCAAAGCACCCGTCACTTTCAAATGTGACGGGGCCAATGTCCTTCGTAAAACGCCCCACAAAGAACAGGTTGCGCGTCAACTTGGGAATGTGCCACACACCAGTAAGCACACCTTTCTTGACGCCGTGTTTTGTCCTCATTGACATGATGATGTCTCCCTTTCCCACTGCTTGTTAAACGCCATCATCCGCCACATGCACATCTATTAGCGAGATCTTCTGGTAGTTCTTCATGTGCTCTTTTGAGTATGTCATGTGTTGAGTCGCACCTGAGTCGACCAGCCACTCTTCACTCGGCTTGATGTTATCTCCATCAAATGATAATAGAAAGTCGCCAGAGGCTTCTTCAACCTGCGCGACGCTTGCTCTTCGGGACCTCTGCCGTTCCGCATTCTCGCGGATCCTCACTGGACACTTGGCAATCCAATGTCCTTGCTCGCCACAGTAGTGACATGCACTGGACTTCTGCACAGCCCGTCCTCCTTTTCGCTTGCTGTGATTTCTTGTCATGAACGCTTGACCTTGACCGTGCGCGGATCCGTCGACGCCGCCACCTTGTTCCTTGCGCTTCATGTCTTCATGCATTAGCCGAGACTTCACCAGTTCCCACGACAGAGAGTCAGCACAAGACTCTACGCCGTGATCAGAAACTGGTACGACTCGCTTAGACTACCAAGAAGCGTGATCACCAAGTCGTCCTCGCTGACCGGAGCGCCAACCGCATCGAGCTGCTCCGCCAGAGTCTTGAGCTTGTTGATGTGCTTTAGCACATCATCACCTTCATCCGTCATCGTTGTGAAGAAGCGTCGAAGAAGAAAGAGCTTGTTCGCCAGACTCTTCTTCTCGTGATGCCCTTCCAGTCTTGACCATGCATCGTACGCTCCAATCGCTGAACGGACCAGCGGCAGCTGTAAATCTTCCATCGCGAGACAGATGATCGCTAGAGCCTTGCGTGACTTTCTCTTGAACGTCGATTGATCCATCACGTTGGTGCAGTGCTCCAGCTTGACTTCTCCACATGTGACCTTGCACAGATCGCGCTCTTCCAGGACCATCTGCATCTTGAAATTCCATGTGTGGAAGTTGTTCCCTTAAACCTTGTTGATGCGGGCGGTCGGCGTTGCGGCAGAGTCCATGGCGAAGGCGTAGTCGGAGTCTTCGTTGGAGGAAACGGGGCTTGGGCTCATAACCTGAAGGCTAAGGCAGTCGAGCACTAGATTGTAAAATGCAAAGTGATTATATTTAGGTCCTTAGTTCACAAACTCTGTTGCTACTCTAAGCCTACATGATTCTTCGACTACGCGTTCCTCATCGCTATATCGCGCATTACTAATCGTCTAGTCGCGCATTAGTAATCGCCACATTGCGCATTACTAATCTTCGAGTCGCGTATTACTAATCGTCTAGTCGTACGTTTCTAATTCTGGTCGTGCGTTTATGAACACCCAAACGTACCAAAAATGGGGGACGTCACTGTCTGGCAGTACAGTGCTGGTGAACCCCAAACACCAGATCCCGAAGGCTTAACTTGTTGTTTGTACGCCCCCACCGGTATCGAACCAGTGACCTTTGGGATGGTACTGCCATACCAAACCAGCTGAGCTACAGAATACATTTCTGTGACATCATGCCGAGACGTCTTTTTTACAACAAATACAAGCCAGGCTTGTTAGTGGCCCCGGCTAAAATTAAAGGCTTTGAAGAGCCGTGGTCAAAATTAATTGACTCTGGAGAGTCAGGCAACTAAGCCAGACGCCGGTCCTTTGAGGGATGTCAGCAATGTGCTGAGGCACTGAAAGCGTAAGAGGGTGATGTTATCACTGTTCGCTTAGCGACAGGTACTCGTGTCACCGTACCTAAAGTTACGTTGAACTTAGGTGTAAAATATTAGATTTTGGCAGTATCGAACGTTATCTTGTCCTGGATTTGGAATCGAGATATGATCCCATCCTTGTGATGGCTTGGCTGGAACGCCATGAACCATAAAAGGATTGGAGGTCGAAGACCTTAGGCGCAACACGTAATGTTCCTAGTGAAGCTTTGGAGAGTCATGAGCCACTTTTTGCTGGGCAACAAAAGTGCTATTGGCGCGCGGCACTGACGGAGTCTGTCAGTGCGCTGGACATTGGAGTGTCTGAGCCAGTTAAATCTCATGTCATTGACAACAGTGAAACGGCACGTGTTCCCTTTGAGTGAAACTAGTAATGACTGTGAATCACTAAATGCTGGAAGCATAAATGACTTAAAGTCGCATCATCCTGGGTGTGATCTCTGTAATGCGCGTGGAGTGGCACGTAAACATCCACAGAGTGAAGTCGACCGTGATGATACCCCACTTAATGTCGGTAATGACATTCTTGGCGACTTAATAAGGCATCAAGCGCTTTGCTTAACAGATGAGCGTGGATCGGCACGAAAACATCCACAGAGTGAGGTCTGCCGTGGGCATCACAACTTAATGTCGGTAATGACATTGGCTCTCAGAGAGAGCAGGTTGAGGTTAAAGATAATCTTCATCTCGTTAAAATTGGATGTTCCTAACACGTTGAAGTGTTTTGTCTCTTCACAGAGACGACAGCGACGCCAGATGGCGGCTGTGAAAAGAAAGAATTCTGCCATGACGCAGAAGGACACCAGTGAACAGTTGTACACGTTAGTTAATGGGATGTCGGGTGTTATTAGTAAAGAAGTCGGCTTCGAGACATATACATCGATCAACGCTCTGCTAGAGCTAGACAAGATGTCTGTAGACGAATATTTATAAGCCTTAACGGATAATGCTTTGTACCATATGGTGGCCTGTAAACTTTATCTTGAGCTAAGATCTTCATCCCTTGTAGATGAGACAGTCCTTGAGGACATATGTGTTGCACACAGTGCTAGCAGTGGATCTGCCCTTTTATGGATGCTTTGGATCCCTTCTATCCTTTGGTAAAGGAATTAGTAGGAAGTGGTGTGTCGTGGTTCCTCATCCACTCTACCTCCCGACAGAGGTGTGCGTCATGAAATCGACCTGGTCGGTGGGACCAAATACGGTGTCACACGTCAATGGCCATCGCCTAAGGAACAGAGTGACGTCATTGAAGAGTTAATTCGTGCACATCACGCGGCAGGCATAGTGCAGGAGAGCAAATCTCCACACTCTACACCGACATTTTGTATCGGAAAGCCAAATGGTAAGTGGCGTATTGTTCACGCTTACAATAAGCTCGATGTGGCGAGTATACGGGCACACACCTATTCTTGAAAAGGATATTCTTCAGAACGCTATAATGGGTTGCACCATGTTTAGCGCACTCGGCTTAGTCATTGGTTATTACCATCTGCTCATGCGAGCGAGTGATATTCCACTCACAGCGTTTAGCACGCCGACCGTCATGCTTTGGGAGTGGCTTGTTATGCCTCAAGGACTTTCTGATGCCCCGCAACCTTTGATGGTCTCGTGACGCAGTTGTTCGGCCCTCATAAAAGATATGCACTAAACTATTTTGATGACATATTTGTCCATAGCCGTGCAGAACGAGGAAGATCAGATGTGTTAGATCACATTGAACTTTTCCGAGCAGTGTTCGGGTGCGTGCGCACCAACAAGTTGTCTGCAAATGCATCTGAATGCGTTTTTGGTGCTGAAGAAATCCCTTTTCTAGTGTTTTTCATTGGAAAGCGCTGCCTACGGGCATATCCAGCTAAGGATATATCCATTGTAAATTGGCCGGATCCGTCTAATCCCAAAGGACTTGCTTAAATGGCTTAATTTAGCCAATTACGTACACAAGTATAGTGCAAACTTTGCTGACAACTACTTAAAAGGACGCGGTTTGGTGTTGTAACTCGGTTCAGGCACAAGCTTTTTCAGCTGTCAAGGAGAGTCTTCTTCATCCTCTAGTTTTGGATTTGACTGACCCGGATCGACCTTTCAATGTCGTCTGTGACGCATCTGATTTTGCCATTGGAAGTGCATTGTTGCAAACTGATGCCTATGGACATCAACGCGTCATTGCGTATGAGTCTCGCCAGCTAGAAGCTGCTGAAATGAACTGTACAGTTCATGACAAGCAATCATTTGTAATGAAGTATGCTCTTGTCAAGTTCAGAGTACGTCTACTTCGGTACAAGCCTTTTTAATCTACACGGATCATGCGTCGTTGCGCACCGCGACCCAACCGCCTCATCTCTCGCAACATATGGACCGTTATATATCCTTCTTTGCCAAATTTAACTTTCAGGTGAAGTATAAACCAGGGAAGCGAAATGCTTTGGCCGATGCGTTATCACGCAGGACGGATTATAAGCTTGCTCATGTTATGAATCCGTCGTCTTCTATCTCTGATCTAACCCGTGCGGCTTATGCAAAGGATGATCAGTTTGTCGCGTTGTTGCGCGCAATCGGTTGTGATGAGTTTAAAGTTTCGGGTTCTAATTTTTGGCACGCTCGCGTGCAGGGCTACATCGATATTCTTTGGATCATGGCCTCTTATGCTAGATCACGGATGCGTCGAATACTCCGCCCATTGTCGTACCAAATGATGAGAAATTGAAGTATCGTATCCTATTTAAGGCGCATGATACAGCTTTGAGCGGTCATCTCGGTCGAGAGAAGACCAATGGCTTGGTCAGCCGACACTAGTGGTGGCTTAAATTGAACAAATGGGTGAGCACATATGTGCGTACCTGTGAAAAGTGTCAGTAAGTCAGACATTCCGCTCATGCAGCTGCGCCTTTGGCGAGTTTGCCCAACCCCACGGGTTGTTGGATTATCAACAATATTGGCCTTGTGTTATTAATTTGCCAACAGATTTGGACGACTCAACTGGTATTGTGGTCTTTGTTGACTGTTTGAGTAAGATAACTCATTTAGCGGATGTACCGTCTTCGATCAATGGTGAACGTACCGAACAGCTATTTGTCGATCGCGTGTTTCGTCAACACGATTTGCCTTTGGAAATTATTTCAAATTGCAATCCTCGCTCTACGAGGAATATTCAAAAGTTTATCTTTAAGGAGCTCGGGACCAGATTAGACATTTACACCGCGGATAATTCGCAGACTGATGGTCAAATTGAACGAGTTAATCGTGTCATTGATGACATTTTGCGCAGCGTTTGCGCAGATACGTCTCGGCGTTAAAAATCTGTGCTTCCGGTGGTCGAATTTACCATAAACAATTTGGTCCATGCCTCGACTGGATACAACCCGTTCTGTGTGAACGGCCTTACCCATCCGCGCGTCCCACTGACGCCACCACTCCGTGGTTCAGGGCGTGGTGGAGGAGGGATGGACGACCGGCTTTCTCATTTCAGCCCTGCCATTGTTTAGAAACAGGTTGATGAGCTCCTTTCAACAAGGTTAAATGACTTAATACATGTGCGAGAGGTAATGGATGATAACCAAGATAAACAAAAAACAAGCAGATGACAATGGCAGAAATTGTATTGAAAGTTATGAGGTCGGAGAGCAAGTCTTTCTAAAGGGTAAAATTCTACCTACAAATGAAACGTCAGCTGTCCTTAATACATAGTTGCGTCCGCGCTTCATTAAGCCTTTTACGGTCGTAGACAAGAAGTGCCTTGCGTATACTCTCAACT